CGCCCGGCTCCGCCCCCCGGCTCTATTTAAACTCTGGACCGAGTGCGGAGCTCCCAGCATCTTGTCACAATGACACTAAAAACGACGTACGCAGTCACTGAAGGCAGGCTTGTACTTAGTCTCCCCCCAGAGCCCCCAGTACCCCTGGAGAGCAGAATCCTCTGTCATTTTTCGTTTGGAGCCTTCAACAGGATGTCAAAACGTGCTCTCCTTTCCTCGATGTCGCTGACACCACCAAGCTGCGCTGCAGTTACACCCGGAACGGCCGCAGAGCACAGCAGAGCTGCCCCAGTTGTGACCTTACCATTGGCAGTGCTGTCCCGCAAGGGGAAAGGGACCAGACGTTTATTGCCGCGGGGCAGGGTTGGGCAGGACCTCTGACAGAGGGGCTTTAGATTGCGCCTCGCTGCTGCAGTTCACGTTTTAAAGCATCTTCCTTGCAGATATGAATCAAACAGCTCGGAATTGCAGAGGAATAATGTCACCTTATGACTTCTGACCCCTGTGTGACCTTTGACCCCAAAGGTATGTGGCCTTAGACCCTGGGTGATAAATGACCATTGACCCCAGGGTGACCTTTGACCCTACCCTGAGTGCCCTGTGTACTTTGACCCCAAGTGACCCTTTGACCTTTGAGCCCAGTGTGACTGTTGACCTCGATTGACCTTTGACCACGTGTGACATCTTGACACCTGGATGACCTGTGACCTTTGACCTCCCACCTACACTAACTTTTAAACCCCTCCCAGCCATGGCCCTCCTCCCAGCCCCTTCCCAGCCCTGTTCCCTCCACTGACCTTCCACAGGGCCATGGCTCTGAATCCATCTACAATGAAACCCACCCACCATCAGCGAACCGGGACGCTCCCGCAGCTGCCAGGTTCCTCTTCATCATCTGCGAGAGCGAACAAGCACAAACCAAAATGCAGCTGGCGGTCAGCAGCGACTGGCACGGTCTGACCCCTTCCACCACAGCCCCCCCACAGAAGCTCCGTCGTGTTCCGCTCACCTGCTCGTTTTGCACTTGGACATTGCAGCCATCGCGGCTTCTGATACCGAAGAGACCGAGAGACAAAATTACTGTCACACTTCCGAGAAGTCACCAGCCCTGCCAACCTCCTCAGTACCACCCCAGCTCACCTTCAAACGCTCCTCCAATCCCGAAAGTGGATCCACAGCACCTGCAAAACCAAAAGGCAAATGCTGGACCAAAGTCACGGTGTAATACTTCTCTGTTAGATGCCAACCTGAACAACCATCACTTCACCTTCTCAGACTGCTTGTTGGCACGTGCCCTCACCCCTCTGAGGCTACATGCAGCACCGGCAAGAACCAAAGCACGAGACCCATGCTGAGATACTGCCCTCTCCAGCTCCAGCCGCGGCGGCTCCCGCCTGCTGCCCACGGCCGGGAAGGCTCCGCCCGTCCCTTTTGGCCCCCGAGCCATGAGAAGCGCCAGGCCGGGCAGAGACACCCCGTACCAGCCCGAGGCAGCTGCAGTCAGCGACATCCCCGGGACAGGAACGGACACGCACGGCCCCAGTGCAGCCGCTGGAGGAGGGAAAGAGGCAGCACTGACCGTTGTTGCCGTAGGTCTCTCCCGGCTCCGGCCCCCTCTTCCACAGGGGCTTCTGCAGAAGCACCGTGGGGCAGCCTGCTGCCCTCACCACAGGGCTTGACAGTGGCCTGGGCTATGGGACAGGCTTCAGGGCAGGTGCTGGAGCTCAAGGCAGCTGCACCAAGCTGCAGAGCTCCAGCTACACGCACCCCCACCCCCACTGGGACCCTGTCAGGACTTTCCTCAGGGTCGCCCTTTTGCAGGGCCCTGACCTCCCCCCCAGTGCTGCCCGGGAATGCTGCCCCGTGGGGACCCCCAGAGATCAGGCAGCCCCACAGTGCCAGTGCACCAGCTTCCCGCCACCTCCTCGGGCTCTGGGCCACCCGCAACCACGGCGCCGCACCCTCCCCTCCTTGGCCCTAGCGTGGGTCTTCCTGGCCTGGTCGCTCTGCACCCCAGGCCCCCCAACGCCTCTGTGTCACCTTCCCTGGGATATCCCTGGTGGCCAGGATGCTCCCGGCCCCAGGCACTGGTTCTGCAGTTGCAGTCTCAGTCCTGGTCCCAGCATGTGGTGCTCAGCGCTGGCTTTGCTGTCCTGGACCTACGCTGACATGGTGATGTGAATGCCGCTCTACCAACAGGTGCCCAGCTGAGCACCCCCCAGCCCGCAGTGGCAGCCCATGGAACACGGTGTCATGGTCACCGGTCCTGCTGGCCACTCCACAGGACTGTTGTCCCCAGGCCCTTGGCCCACAGCTGCATCCCACAGAGGACATGGGATGTTGCCATCACAGAATCACAGAATCCCAGAACCATCTGGGTTGGAAAAGCTTCAGCTCCTCCAGCCCAAGCATGACCCTCCCCCTGACCGTTCCCAACTCCCCCAGATCCCTCAGCGCTGGCTCAGCCCGACTCTTCAACCCCTCCAGGGATCCCGGGGACTCCCCCCTGCCCTGGGCAGCCCATTCCAACGCCCAACAGCCCCTTCTGCACAGAAATCCTTCCTCAGAGCCAGCCTGACCCTGCCCTGGGCAGCTTGAGGCCATTCCCTCGGGGCCTGGCGCTGGGGCCTTGGCTCCAGAGACTCATCCCCCCTCTCTGCCCCCTCCTGGCAGGGAGTTGCAGAGGGCCAGGAGGTCTCCCCTCAGCCTCTTCTTCTCCAGACTAACCCCCCCCAATTCCCCTCAGTGGGGACAGCTGTGGCTGCTGGGACAGCAGAGGTGTGTCCAAGCTCAGGGCAGCTAAAGGGAGAGTCGGGGGATGCACAGGAAGGGAAAAGGGGATGAGAGCAAAGGGAGAGCTCTGGAGTGCAGGGCTGGAGGGGGGAACATCAGCAGGTGACAAGGAAGACATAGGAGTCTGGGGGTGCAGAAAGGCAAAGGGGAGGGTCTTGGGCCACACAGAAGGGAAAACGGATGACCACAGAGCACACCAAAGAAGCACTGGCAAAACTCTGGGGTGGGAGGAAAGCTAAAGAGGAAGCACTGTAGCATACTGTATGACAAACATGGGGCCTTGGGACACGCAGAAGGACTTGGGAGGAACCTAAAATATGAATTCAGGAGTTCAGAAGGCTCCAGGGCACAGCCAAATACAAAGTGGTGCACAACAAGGAGCAGCATGCCGTGGGGCTCAGCATGGTGGATCAGAAGTGGCCTTCAGCCACCACCAGACTATGGAAACTCCCTCTCCTGGCACCACTTGCGCTAGCCCCAGCCCTCACCAGCATCTTGGGTATTGTATGTGGTTGTCCCTTTTGGGGATCCTGG